GGGGGGGGGAATGGAGCCACTAACTGGGAAACCTTCTTGATTCGAGTCTTAGAATTGATGGGAAATACACAGCTAGTTTGGGTGTATTTAGAAGCAGGCAATGGTTTTTGAATGTATATAGTTACTGTCCCAGGAATTACGTGAACACCTTTGCGGGGTGGGGTTATCTAAATAGCGCTCCTACGGGTAGGAAGCTTGGAAACCTTGGCTTCACCTCTTTGAGCACAAGCCAGGGATTAGCAATGGTCAAATGAACTGTTCTCCGTTGTCATGAACTGTTCTCAGTTTAAGTAGGTGAAATTATTTCAAGTTTAGCAGGTCTTCTGATTACATTTAGCAAAATATTGTCAGTAGTAAAATAGCCTTTTCTAAATCTGGGCCTGTGCTCACCCTTTCAGAGGCACGTGTTCATAAGCAAATCGGGGTGCCCTGCCTTGGAGACAGACCCGTGGCTTTTTCCGTGACGCTTTTCTTTCTGCCTCAGTGACTTATGGCTCTTGAAGCCTTCTTCAGTGTCAGCATTACAATTTTACAAGCTTTTCTTTTTAATCGATACCTTACTGCAGCCTACATTTTAAAAGAACGTGAGATATTCTGCTTTAAAACACTACTATGTTTCTGACTACAGTTTAAATGTTTAGATATTGGCGATTTCTCCGGATGTAAGGTTTATTGGTAAAGAGGGAGTAGGTGAGGTATTTTTCTTGGGGGTGGGGTGGGGGACTGCTGCATGTATTATCGGCTCTCTTTTTAATAGGCAACATCCTCAGAAATCTCTGCTTGGTCTTGTAAAATAACCAGGCTTTGAACTTGTGTGATGTTATCTTCAACTCTAACGTTTAAGTTTAGGTTTGGAGTTAATCTCAGGTTGTTTTTCATGTAGTATAAAATAGATCTTTTTCTATTTTTTGCCAAGTGGCTGACAATTATTTGCATTTTGTTATGATTATTAATGTGTTTTTTCTAAATTTCTAAAAGCTTTGAAAATTGTTTTGTAATGACTGTAAAATCACTGCAGGTTTCAAAATCAATCAGGTTATTTTCTATGCTGAATGAAAACATTGATTTTTTTATGTTAGTCAGTTTTTTGAATGAAAGTGCACAGAATAGAAGCTGTGTTGTTTTAAACGTAAAGGCTAATTTTTAGATACACATTTAAGAGTTTTATGTGAGATATATCTTATTGTTCCTGTTGTTGAATTTACCAAGAGCTGAGTCACAGAAATGTGTTTCTTTAGCTACAGAAAGTCTCTTTTTAAACCCTTTTGCTGGGGGACACGCAGAGTTGTTATACCTCTCAGTAATTCCTTCTGTTGCCAGCTTCACTCCCTTTCTCTGCCTGCATTTTAATTGAAACAACATTTATATTTTTGAGCCAGAATCTGTCAGAAATCCCTGTGGCTAGTCTGTGGGACCAGTAGCAGCAGACGTAGCTTCCCCATATGGTGCGGTGCTTCTGTAAAATCCATATGGCCCTGTTGAAGGGGTCCCCGCGGGGATGTGAAGGGCGTTGACACCCTTCAGGCCAGGCCTCCCCCTCGGGGGGCTTCCCTGGCATTGTCAGTGCAATCTGCCAAAGCACACACTTAATTCCCTTTTAATAATCAATTATTTCAGTCTCGGAACCTCTGCTATTTTTCTTAAGAAAAAAACCTCTTTTTTTCCCTTAGGAGAAAAAAAGTTCTAACAGCATCTTTATAAATATTCTAAAGCCTTTTTTAAACATTTGCCTTTGCAGGAAGTACTACAGAGCGTGCCAAGGTTCTGTTTTCCCTTTGACGTTGAAAGGTACAGTATAAGTCATCGTTAAAATCACTTCACCAACCTTAGTGAGTGAGCACTTTGAAACTATTACGCGTTTTGTTTTTTTAATAAAATGAAATGTACTTTTCTTCACTGCTTCCAACAAAAAGGACAGGAGGCTCCAAATTAAATAGTATTTGGAATGAAGGAGCCTTTTAAATCATTACATCTTTTGTTTTGTCCACTGTGGCCAGTTAGAAGCCTTCAGGTCCCATTTCTCCCCTTTGTTCTGCAGATACATGTTGTAAGCACTAGCAGAAGAAAAACACGACTACATCCTTGATCAGAACCTTAGAACTGTGTCTTTTAGAATTAGCTGTATATATCCTGCTTTCCATCTCACTTCACCCTAATTGAAAAGACCATATCTGTGTGATATTGTAAAACTGATGGCTACTTGTCCCCCAAGAATAGCTTTATAGAAATGGTATAATATTCTGGAGGGCGACCGGGAAACTCTCCTGGCAGTTTTGAAAAATCTCATTATGTTTGTATTTTACTGAATAAATACTGAATGAATAGAGTATTACCTGTGTGCAGCTGGAATGTCACAGAATATCCAGCCCTTTGAACATAAGAACAGATCATTTATTTTTTCCCATGTGATTTTCGCACCCTATTATCAGTTTTTTTAAGGGGATGGTATGAGGGGATTTTAAAAGAACATTTATTTTACGAAAATATTTTGCTAAAGTGAAGATTGGTAAAAATCTAAATTTTATAATATTAAAGGTAATATTCTGAGTGATGGGCTAATTGAAATGAGTAAGTATAGCTGGTGAGCGATACCCCTGGTTTACCTCCTTTTGGGGGAATCGGTCGAGCCTCTAAAAGTTGCAGTTAAAGTAACAGCAAAGGTGAAAAAGAAAGACCTGCTAGAAAAATGTACTGTGAACACTGGACACCAGAGAGCACATCAGGCGCTAAAGGTTTAGACGTTTGTATACATTTTGAAAAAACTGCCCACTGAAAAGTGTACTTAAATGTCCAGCATTTGAAATGCAATATTTTTTTGCAACTGAAAACAATTTATAGTATTGGCTCACTAGTAGTAAAGAACCTTATTTCGTCTTACGTAATTCCTGTGGCTATTTCAAACCCAAAATTCAGGTGTCAAAGATGTTTTATTTCAAGACAAGGAAGTAGACGTTGACTTATGGTTGTCCGATAGCAAGACCTAGCCAGTGACTGGAAATATACTTATATATTTTAAATAGGAATAAAGATTCAATGTAATGATTTGTATTGTGCCTTACTTACACTGCACTGTGACACCTATTATGGTGGTATGACACTTAGCTCAAAATTAGCTAAGATTCTTGGGAGTAAGCTTTTTTTGTAGAAATTGTATTCTTTTCTTCTACTTGGAAGTGTATTCTCAGTGTACAGGCAGCTCAGGAGAGAATGCTAAAGAAATACCACTAGTAATTTGTATGGTACTTTACTGGGTGAGAATGACAACAGAAGAAGCTATTAAACAGAGTTGGTGGTGGCTTCCATTAGAGTCTGAAACAACTTGGTTTGCTCTCTAAGCTGCCTTAGGAAGCATCAGGAAGAGAGGCCAGAATTGAGCAGGCTCAGTCATCACGTCTCGCTTCTCACTTCCACAGTTTAATAGCTCTTTTTCAGAATTTATAAAATATTTACAAGTACTTTAGGCATGTGAAAACTCATGGTAAAATTCCGAATGATTCCCTAGTAAGGGATTACTATGCGCTGAATTGCTCGGCTTGTAAGGTGTTCCAGCGTGTTTTGGTATTTGACTCACGATTCAGTTCACACATTTCACACTCAGTTTGAGAGCAAAGTTCAACTTTAAGAACCAACTGATTGCAAAGGAGAAACCAATGCCCCGTATAAATATATTCTTTCTTTTGTGTTTCTTTACAAAAATTCTTAGACACAGATTTACGTTTTTGAACATTACTATGTTTTAGGGTGTCTCAAAATCAAGTCGGACAGCACTTTACCTTTGTACTGACAGACATGGAAAGTAAACAGAGATTTGGATTCTGCAGACTCACATCAGGAGGCCAAATGTGCTTATGCATCCTCAGGTGAGCATTTGTCCGACCAGATAATTGGACGCTCAGGCGCGTAACTGTCTTTCTTTGCACTTTGTTATGCTTAGATGCTCAAAAAGAGGCATATAATTGTTTTCCTCAAATCCAAGTAAGTCGAAAAGTAATTTTATTTACTTGCTACATACAACATCAATTAGGTTTAAAGATTTACCAGTCACAGTAGAATTTTTCTTGAAAGAGTTGGCTCTTTTAAAGATTAATTTTTGTGGGTTTATTTTTGAAAAATTAAACATTAAGATAGGAGTTCAGATAATGTGTGTCTCACAGGTTGAATGGGATGCAAAAATCTTAAATTAATATGTGCTTTTTTCTACCACTGACCCCAAGCTTGGGCTATGGAGGTGAGTGGATGCTTTAGGGCAAAGGTTGCAGACTCGAGCACCTGGGCAGAAGTGTTCAGAAGTGTTCATTTGTCCACTTGTTGTTCTAAAAATTTTAGAAGGTGTTCTTAACTTTATACATTTTAGTGAAATTTTGCATAAAATTCACGTTTCTAATTGTTTTTGCTGAGCGGGGACATTTGCTAGTTTGGGTCCTGCACTGCGCAGCAGCAGCCGCAACTAAGCAGCAGAGTTGTTAGTTGGGTCATGAGCCTGCTGTTTCCCACCAGGTTCTACCTGCCCCAGGTCACTCACTCACGTCACTTGACTCTGTGGAAAGCTGGAGTGTGTGTCCTGTCTGTACACCTAGGCTCTCAATTGCAGGCTGGTGAGAAGGAAGGACCTGAAGGTTCGCTCCCCTTTACTAAGTCCCAATGAATTAGAAATGCGGCCCATAAACCATTCTGTAAAAATAGGATTCTTCACTGTGGCTGTAATGTGGATATTGGTCAAGCTGGACTCTATGGAAATGTTTGTAGGAAAAGAAAACGTTTAATAATTGAAATATTTCAAAGAAAACTTGACTATGGAATCGACGTCTCCTCTGTTCGCTTGCTCTGGCTACGTTTTATCATTCTCTGAGGTTAGGTTGTACATTGACTCAGACGTTTGTTAGAGTTGGAGAAAGTTTCTTCAATCTTTAGTAAAAAATGTTGAACTGTTTTATAAGTAATAGAATGTGGCTGTGTCTCCATTCTGTCTTAGACATAACTTTTTCATCTGGATAAACAATTGTGTTTAAATCTATGTTTTACCCAAAAGAGTATTGTGCTTCAAACTATAGCTGGAGTCTTCTTGTTTGATTCCAGTTGGTTGGGCAGCGGGCCAGGGAGTGCCAGTGTGTAAAGTGGGTAGGGAGAGCTTTTATTGTTGTGGTTCATGCTAGATTCAAAAGCTAGAGTTTAAAGGGGATCTAACCTTATGCATGCTGCCCAAGACAGGTAGGTTTGCCCTAACAGAAAGGCCAGCACTGTCCGTGCTTTCTGGTTTTTCTCTATGAATTTTTAAATCTTTTCATTAAAAAAATCAAATTTACCGAAAAGTTTCCAGACCAGTACAGTGAACTCTTGTGCACACATCACGCAGCTTCACAGTCTCTCTCCCTCCCCTTCCCCTCCTTCAGTGTACATGCAAACATACAGTACAATATTCCTGAGAGCTCTGAGCTAGAAAATGTGCACGCACACACTGTTTTAAAGCTACTTTTCTCCATTCCTGGATGATGCTATTATAACGCTTGAAAGTAATTTGGGATTACCTTCACGGTCATAGCTAAAAAATTTGCACATAATGCTATAAAAACCAGGTGTTCTTTTTCTCCTGGATTTATGCTCTTATAAGACTTAAAAGTAAGTATATTTGATTTCTATTTGTTTTGTTCACTTTTTAGAAGAAATAGGAGAATTTAGCTTTATTTACTATAAAAGTTGATATTTAATTTTGAATTTTCAACCACTGTTGTATGCTTCGGCTCTGTGACATGTCACCTTAGTTTAATGAGATTTCAAAAATATCCTAAGGTATCGCTAGTTTAAAATGTGCCATTGTTTATATTGCGAATTGCTTTCCAGTGCTAGCAAAAATGCAAGAAATAACTTCTTTTCCTGGTTTGATTAACATCATTTTACAACTATAAAATTGTCGCCAACGGTTCAAAATGAAATCCCCTAATAAGGGAGACAGATTGATGTTCGGGGCCTTTGTAGTCGCCCGGCCGGGGCCCCTTTAACTCATACCACACTTGAAGCTTTCACACTCTTCCTTTGGGCAAATCCCTTAGAAGCAGAATGTTTCAATTTTACACATTTTGTGTCAATTTTCCAGACAGAAAAACAGCCTCTAGACATTAGACGTTTTGCTACGGAAAGGCAGTTTCCTTAGTTTTATTTGATTACTATAAGTTAGGCTCCTGCTGATCACTCAGACTGTTAGTGGTTACCTGACTAGTTGACAAAAAACATTTCCTTTCCTTTATTTAACCTTTGACTTTTGAATGTAAAAGTTTTATCAGCTCTGAGTGGAAGCACAAGTGTGGGGGAAGTCGTCTTACTACCACAAAATGGACTCATGACTTTATATGTGCATCTGTCTTTTGCCTTATGTCTTTATGAAAAATTAAGGAAATAACCTAAGTAACCTTTGAAGGACCATATTTATATATGTTCACAAGACTACAAGAGTCGGTTATTCTTTGTTAAAGAAATTATGTTTTCAGTTTTATAAAATTCAAGTAAAATACCTTGTTCAGTCAATATAATATGTTGAATATATATATTTTTAAACTTCCTAGGATTTTTGTGGTTGGTTGTAAGAAGCAGATTTTGACTGTCTTTGGGGCTGTAAAATTTACTGGAAAAATATTTTAACTTATTGATAATCAATTTGTATACATTAGTTAAAAATTAATTGCTTTGCACATATATTGTTTGAAAATTATCTAAGAAACCACAAAAATAAAAACATGAGACTAGCGTTTATTACCTGAGCAAGGTGAGCTTGTATAGTTTATAATATGTATTTTATATATGTGTGTGCATATATATGTGTGTGTGTGTGTGTGTGTGTGTGTGTGTGTGTGTGTGTGTGTGTGTGTATATATATATATATATATATATATATATACTATTTTAGGCACACACTTTGTCATTAAAGTTTGCAATAGAATTTTGTTAAAGTATTTGAATTGTTGGCCACTGTGTGTACCTCAGGTCATTTTTTTTTTGTCGTATAAAAAGTGAGCAGTCTTCCTGTTGAGTGATTGCTCCGTGGCGGGGTTATGAATTCAGGTACCTACAGGGACCAGGTAGGGGACTCCAGTGAGGTAAGCGGGGTAGGTGTTGGACAATAGAAAGTTGGGGTGAGTGTAGTGACCCCAGTAGTACATGCAACAGTCAAAGACAGAAGCCTTCACACAGCTCTAGGTGTTTGTTGCAAAGTGGAAAATATGTGACCAGTATGGCCAGTTCTTTTGATTTTTTTAAAAAACAGATTTTCAAGTGAGTTATCGCATATTTAGAAGTTGGCAAACTTATTTAGTTAACCACAATGGTGTGTTGACCAAACCACATCTGTTCTTGGGCTCGATAGAGTCGCATATAGCCGTTGGCACCCTCTGCTGTCTGTGCTGCTGGCTATTTGCAACAGGAAGTAGCCTGCATCCTGGACACTTTTAGGAGCAGGACTAGGTTACAGAGTAGTTCTGCTTTGAGGTAAGTGATGCTTTTATTTAAAAAGGTGAATGATATGGACTCTTACAAAGGAGCTAGCTGTTTCCAAGAACTGGTCCACGTCCCCAGAGCCCACACTGCATCCCTGAACTCAGTTCTTTGTGCTGATGGTACTTATAGGTGTGTCAAGTGGTGCTGTTGTGGACATTTGAGAGTCTGTCCCATTATCTCTCATGAACAAATTATGTACAGAGGAAAATGTTGGCTAGATCATAGATAATGCAGTCTTCTTATTGGCTAAAATACTTCGATTGTTGATAAATAGATTTATGTCATTTTGGGAGGGATCTTGTACCATGTTACAGGCCGTATTCTTTTCAAAATTTTTTTCCAGTGATGAACATAGAAGCAGTACTACAATCTACAATTGCAAGGAATTACTAGTATTTTAGATGAAAGAATCAAATTAAACAAATCTTTATCTGCTGAGAAATTTGCCAATATGAACAAAATATCATTCAAAAGGCATAAAGATAGTGCTGTGAACATTAGTTAAACAAATTTTGGAAGATAGAATTTGCTTCAGTGGATAGAAATTGCAAGTAGGATGATTTCAGATTAAACCAGAATGAACTTTGTCACCGTTGATTTCGCTGCCTGAAAAACGTCTGGTCATTGGACATGCCTATGAAAAGGCTGGATGTTATAAAATGTGCCTGATGGGGTGATGGGCTGTCTGCGTGGACGTCTGAGCATGTATTGCTCAGTCCGCTGGATCAGTTCTAATCCGGGGCTTGCCATTTGGTAGCTTTGTGACCCTGGATAAGTTGCTTTACATTAGTTTAGTCAAATGTACATCATAGCATTATTATAAGAATTAAATGAGGTAACATATAGAAAGTTCCTAGCATATTTTCATACATGAAGTTAGTGCTTAAGAAGTTTTATTCTCCACCCTTCCAATTATTTTAACATGTAGAGTCTCTGATACTTAGCTTCTACACTCTACTCCCTAGATGGGCATAGAGTCATACCACCCAGCCAGAAATAACAAAGCAAGATGGAGCCTTAGAGACGACTCTGAGAGAGAACCCAGAAGTGTAAACCTTGTTGTAATAGATTAAAAAAATATGATGTTAGTCTGATTTTTGGATGAAGTCACATTCGAGGGGGCTGTAAGAAACACGGTGTCCAGCAGTGCTCTGAACCTAACAGAACCATGTGTTGAGTTTCATAATCAGGATGAACACAAGAACAAAATGCAGCGTGCCCTGTGTGACGCGCAACATGACCCAGTACTGGGATGAAATTCAGTAAAAGTTAGTATTCTTGGAGAGTATAAAAAATAGTAATAGGTAGAAACCAAAATACCTAGCACAAATGTTAAATTTTGAAAAGTATTTTTTGGTATTTTCAAACCTTAAATATTAATTAATTATTGAATCAATAAAATTTGTTTCATTTTCAAAAAACAGGTAAGTAATCTTACAGATAAATTGCACTTATCTGTATGAATTAGCTTCTTAATGAAAAATTGGATTTCGGTTCATCTTCACAATTTGAAAGGAAATTGAAAGGGGAAGACGACCAATGGCAAATAATGTAAAGATGAGAAAACTGGGGCGTTTAATGTTTAAGGTATTGGGTCTAGAAAAGGAAAAGATCATCTCACTTTGTAATAACCTGTGATTATGATATTTGTTACATTTTTAAAAATAGTGAACCAGGAAAGAATTGATGTTAAATAAGGTTTTACATTATTTGAGTAAGATGAAAATGACAATGTAAGGATTAACAGGTAGACATACAACAACCTAAAATCAATAAATTTGGCTTTATCTAAACATTTTTGAGAACAGGATAGAAACAGACTAGCATGTTCCTTTCATAGATGACGTCTCATCTTATTTGAATATATAGATCTGAACACACATCACATTGAAGTTTTCTGGGAATAGCAATTTCTTCACACCATTAAAAGTTGAAATGTCTTAGCATAATAATCTTAAGATCCATCCATGTTGTCACAAATGGCACTATTTCACCTTTTCTTATGGCAGAATAGTATCCCATTGTGTAAATATACCATATCTTCTTTATCCAATCATCTATTGAAGAACACTTTGGCTGTTTCCATGTTTTGGCCACCGTAAATAAAGCTGCAGTGAGCATTGAAGCACATATGTCTTTACAGAAAAATGTTTACAGATTTTTTCGGTAGGTACCCAGGAGAGGGATTGCTGGTTCATATACTTAATTTTTTAAAAAAAGATTTAATGAGGGAATGGGGCAAGGGGAATAGTGTTGGGGAATTGAGGAAGGGGAACAGCCAAGTTGTTGTCCTTTAATCTCAGTTGTGGGGGGCACAGCTCGCTCAGCTCCATGTCCAGTTTCCATGCAGCTTGCGGCTGCTTAGCTCAGTGTGCCATGTTCAATTTTAGTTGCGGGTGGGCATAGCCACCATTCTATGCAGGAGTCCAACTGGAAACCTGTTGCTAACAGCACACGCTCTAACCACAGAGCCATCCTGCCGCCTGTTGGCAGCTCAGCTCAGGCGCAGCGTCACTGGCCCATGTGGGAATCGAACCGGCAACCCTGTTGCTCAGAGCTCACACTCTTGAGCGAGCTCTTAATCAACTGAGCTACTCGTCTGGCCCTCCAGTCATTTTTAAAAAGACATTTTTGTTCCTTTTGTCCCTCTGTTCTTTTTTGGAGAGCTACTATTAGTCAACATGAAAGTTGAGATTGAAGCCCTGATATTTTAATATTTACTCTCTTATTATCCATTGGTTTGTATCTTTATTCTAGTTCCTAGGAGATATTCCTGGTTGAGTTTCTAAGCTTCCTATTGATTTTAATTTTTTTTCAGCTTTTATATTTTGAATTTCTGAGAGTTCTTTCTTGTCTGATAATTTGTACTTTTAATTTCTTTTTTAGATTTCATTTTATTTAATAGCATCCTGTTCTTTACTCAACTTCTAAGAACATTAATGATAACTTTTGCAGTTCTCATCTGTTGTTTGTCTTGTCTATGTTTCCTTAAATTTCCTTCTGCATTTGTACTGATGTTTATATTTCCTCAAAGACCCAGTGGTTGGACTGTTAATTTATATTTAAGATACAGGCACTAAACTGAATTAGGAACATTTATGTGCGGTGGTGGGTTTTAGTCCAAGAAAATAAAACTTGGAGGTATTTTTTTTCCTTTGAGAGATTCCCGGATCAGTGTTTCAGGATTCTGTGGGGGCAAATCTACTGGCTACTGGTCATTTTCTGTTTGGTTGACACTTAGGTTTTGGTTTCCTCTCTTCTGCTAAGTCAGTTATCATTCTTTGTTTGCTTTCCATCTTTACAGAACCATTCACCCGTGTTGCTCTCTTTTGCTCTTTTTTTCCATTTCTCTTGTCCTCGTTAATTTATATCCCTTTTATTCATTTACTGTTATTTTAGTGGCATTTCCAAAGGGCATAGGTAAATACATGTATTCAGTATGTAAGACTTAACCAGAAGTTTGTAGATATTTTAAAATATTGTAGCCATCTTTTTTATCAGTACTTAGTATTTGTAATCATGTTAAAGAAACCTGTAACCTTCTGCTGAGTAAAAATTACTATAGTTTACCTGACTATTCTTCTATTATGACTTTAAGTTACAACTGATTGAAAACACATCATTCATAGTCATTAATAAATCAGACATCATATGAAAAAGTGCAGATCGTTTTTTTTCTAAGCTCTGTTCCTTGATTTTTAAAAATTTTAAACCTGTTTCAAATGTACTCTTGTCAATATACAATTATGTAGGAAAAGCATCACACTATTTTCTTTAAAAAAATAGCCTGTTGTAGTAATTCTTTGAAGAAAAAAATTTGTATTTGTTAATTGATAATTAACTACACTGGTATGTTTTGTGTTTGACTATTCTTCCATATGGAAAAGCACACTTTTGTTTGTTTGTTTGTTTGTTTGTTTTAAAGATTTTTATTGGGGAATTGGGGGAAGGGGAACAGACAAGTTGCTTTCGTTTTGTTCTTCAGTCTAGTTGTGGAGGACGTTGCTTCACTGGCCCAAGTTGGCACCATCATTGCGCTCTTCCTGGGCGAGGCAGATCA